CAGCAGGTATACAGTATGCGATAATACGTTTGCTGAGACCCTCCATCAGAGAGAGAAAACATTAAAACACACCTCTGCTCTCTTATCATTAATTCATCCCAGCTTGTCTGTGACAAGTTCAGTTGACATTGCAGCTCATATTTCTTTCACGCAGGCTTGGAGCGCGAGCACCTGCCAGGAGCACTTAATACCTCGTGAGAAAAAAGAAAGAAAGAAAAAGAGCAAGCTTCCAACCAACTTAACGTGACAATCAAGATGGGATTAATACTTGATAATTAACCTCAACAAATGAAGATAAAGAGCTTGTGAGGAAAATCTTACATTGAAATTTTGTAACAAAAGAAATTAGAGGATGGAATTTGAATATGAATGCAGCAGGCAGATCTTTAGAGCGCCACAGCCCTCATTACAAATAAACTGACCCTCATTCAAGCAGATTCACATCGTGTATTCTGAGAAAAGAAAAAAAAGGGGGGGAGATAATACCTGGATGTTTGATGAAACTAAGGCTGCTCGTGCATATAGATCTCTCAGCTAATACTTAGCTGTTATGCATAACATCTCCTGGCTGATTATACATTCATCATCTGTTACATATTCAAAACATCACACTTGAGCCAGTTTGATGATGGCTAATACTGCATGCACAATTGAGGAACATGAAAAAAGGATAATTTATTCCAGTTGCTGGCAACTGGGGACCATTATAAATATATCATAATTGAATATGAAGCTGTCCTGTTTAAACATATTGCAGATACAGTGGTCACAGCACAGGCAAAAGGTGGATATAAAATATATGTATAGTTTAGTGTAAAGAGAGATGTAACAGAAAACAATGAGGCCAGAAATCAGCAGCAACAGAGATGTGTATCATTCTGGGCTGTATTGATAGGATCAATGCAACCTGAGCAAGGCTATTAAATGTCTAATGTGTTTTGGAACTTGTAGATGCTATGACAGTGGGGGCATTAACAGAGAGAGCACCACAGACAGGGAGAGAGGGGAGAGAGAATGAGGGAAAGTGGTGAGGTGGGGGGCTGGGAGGGAATGGGGGGGCTGCCAAGTGCATCAAAACATCGAGAAAAGAGCTCTTTGAAAGATATCAGGTTTGACCAGGAGGAGCTTCAGACACAATAACCATCATCCAAAAGAGAAAGGAAAGAAAAAGAAAAAAAATTGAATTGAAAATGGCCTCCTTACAAAATCAGGAAAGTGCAATCAGTTTTGCTTTAGAGGGTTTTGAGAGGCAGCAAAGTGGAGAAAATGAATAAATACCCTTGTTACTTTTATCAAATTAATACAGAGATTAGAAGTGAGTGATCAATCAACTAAATGCTGTCTGCATAGGCAAACTCTAAGGTTATGAGCACACTAACATATTCTTTGTATTTGCAGTCTTTTAACCTCTGGAGATGGAAAAACTCTGAACTGACAAAGATTTAAGTTCCTCTAACGACCACTTAACTGCATTTAAAACCATGTTTACAGCCTGTTAAATGAAAAAGAAAGAAAGTTGCTTTATACCTTATTTCTTTGGATACTGACATAGATCAAAAGTTGGGGTGTGTCCGCCCTGATTGACAGCTAGCTTTGAACACTGCCCATACAGCCCATCCAAGAATCTGTGCTCATTTTAATGTTTTAATGTTTGCACACAGACCACCTAGCTCTGGTCTGCATGCTAGAGCTAGCTTAATAACTACCTTGCTAATGTTAGCTGATAGCTTAGTACTCACTGGTCTCATCCATTTATGGTCAGTTCTGGGCCCCAAAACGCAACACGCTTCCACCAAGCCAGCCAAAAATGCTAAAATGAATAAATGAATAAAAATAATGGGAATAACTGAGAAAGTTTTTTTTTAAAGTAATCACAAGTAATCTCTAGCAGGCAAATGCGTATTAACTGGCTGCTTGTCCAACAAATTAACCTCTAAATCAACTATTTTGTCATGTTTTGATATTTACTAAAGACTACAGTGCCCAGCTGTTTCATAAATGTACTTTCCAAATAAATTAAGCTTGACGTTTGTTACATATTTTCAAAGATTTACATCTTTAACAGGAGGAAAGAAAAATGAAATCCCAAAAGCACCAAGCGTTAGATACACACACCCTTAATTTGTGTATTTTAATGCAATTTACTGTCAATAAAGAAAATGCAATAAACCTTCAGTCTTGTTCTGTATTATTCATGCTTTGGCATATGTGCAATCAATCATGTTTTATAAATTTTTAAGATCCATGGCCACAGTTAAATCTGCCTGATTTAAACACTCTTTAGCCCCGCAGTTCACCCTTTCACAACAAACAAAACACGCCCTCTCTGTTCTCTTCAACAGCTATGATCATCTGTTGCTGCGATGCTGCTTGAGTCTAAATCCTTTTTGTTATATAATTGCCCTATTTATTTCATGTTTATATTGTTGCACCTGCATTGGAGTACTTTCAAATGTCCTCATACTTGAATCACACAGGCACAAATTTAAAAACCAGAGGCTCTCAGCCTTTTGTTGAGACAGAATAACCCCATTTCACTCAACTGAATTATCTTTAAAATATCTAATAATGAAATCCTGGAGGTACAAAAACTGGACGTATACGCTCATTTTGAATAAGAGTTACTTTTTTCTTCTAGCGTTCCTCCCCACAATGCCCTGCTCTCTCTTTCTCCCTCTCTCCATCTCTCTCTCTCTCTCACTCTATCCTCACCCCTCCTTTCTTCATTCAACTCTATTGCACTCTTTTCATTGCCCAGCTCACGTATTGAATCTGCCTGATGAAAACAGATCTCACTGCAGCACCACAATAGAATGGCTGATGCAGGAAAGATGAACCCTAATGGATTTTTTTTTCAATGTGCTCAAGATTGAATATAAGGCCTGACCTCCAGATGTAGTGGATCCATTTCAACAGCAGATATATTGTTTATAGTAAAGACACAAAAACGCACAGACACACTTGGACACACACACGTTGTTCAATGCGAGCAGACACAGCTGCACTGTACATTGTGTTTTTTAGCTACCAAAAATAGATTAAAATTCGAATGAACCTGTATTATTTATCTACCCATGTCAAGTGAGATATTCATAATGATAGCAACTCATGTTTGAACTGCAGAGTTTGCTTAATTACTCTGCTCAACAGACTGTGTCAAGGTGAGGCACCAATTTAATAGACACTCCGTTCTCAGCACAAATGAACCTCTGCTACGGTTTGGTAGTTTTGCCAGCCTGACTATTTGATTAAAAAAATTCAGAGTTCACTTTATATGCTGCTTTTTTGAAGTGAAGTTGAAGCAGAGCTCTGAAAAGATCCCCAAATGTATTCAAGAGCTCTTTTATAAAAAGTCAGAAGTAGCAAGATTTGGGAGTTTACTTGCAAAAGATCACAGATCATTTTAACTGTGGTGTAATATCTCTTAACCTGTTTCCTGATTAGTGTGCTTATGTGTTAAAGCACACAAAATTTGAATTAAATTCATGTAACATAGAACATTTACAAAATGTGCTGAAAATAATTTTCATCTCTGTTTTCAAAACCAGTGCTATCAGATTCCCTAGCGGTTACCAGGAGCTGCATTACATGTGCTTTAAACACAAGTTCATCATGTGTGAGTTGAACATTTAAAATCTCATGCATTTTTATCACCCAGCCTGCTGTATTCAATCTATTAAAACCACAGAGTGTGGCCCTCTGTAGCAGTAACAAATATCCTGACTGCAGAGGGAAAGACTGGCCAATCAACCAATGTCTCCGCAGTAAAGGTCATGACCAAAATGTGAAATGAATATGAAGATAAATGACATATGAATCCAATACCTTGTGGGAGTATTCCAGCATTAAAGTATATATAATGCAAAGAATGTTTAGATCTTTACTGGGAAATATTTTGATTGCTGCTTGTCTTCTGTTTATCACGAACGTTACACGATATGCCTGACCTTGATATTCATATGTATAACATATATCTTTATTGTGTAGAATAACTAAAAGATACTGAGACATGGCCAGAGACAAAACACACTGCTGATGTTTGTACTTGATGATACCGTGAAAGAGCAAGAAGAAAACATCTCCTTTTCTAGAACAGCACAGCTGTATGCGTTACTATTTCTGCATTGTTTTATAATACAAGTCAGTATCAATAAAGCTATGAATGTTTAAAGTTACTGGCTTTCCAGTCATCGTCTGTTACACAAGAAAATCGTACGTTAACACTATTAACCATTTCTGTTCTTTCTTTGGGACCTACAATCAAAACATCAGCCATCTTTCCATATATACGGGACATTTTTATCTTTATTAATATATACATTAATTTGAACTTCAAAGTTTCAAATTCAAGCTATATTACACATTTAGGGCACTGTGCATGGTATACTGCTAAACTGCTAAATAGATTATTTGCTTAATGCAGTCTACTCATATGTTTGATGCATAAGCTTTGCAGAGCTCATTTGTTGTGATAGTAACCTGCTCTATTTCCAACAGTTCTCATGAATGCAATTATGGTTTGGAGATGCTAATTTGTAGAGGAGCAGTTCTGTGTGGAGCTGAGGGAGTAATCAGCACGTATTCATGTTTGAAGGCCTGACAGATTGACCGATGCCTGCTGTCGAGGCAGATATGATGCTGATGGATTTACCCACAATCCTTTTCTCCATGCATTAGAGCTGACATGGCAACTGCTGAACAATCATTCAGTTCCCTACTTAGCCCCATTTACTGTGCCTTGAAAACGACATTTTCCCTTGGTACAAGGCTAAGATATTGAAATTATTTTTCATGCTTAAAATACACAAAATGCTTTAAAATGACAAAAAAAGTTTGCTCCATCATCATTTCATCCTATGTGTTGACATTGCTTGCTTCATAATTTGCATTTCTTCTTTTAGGCATGAGCCAGAACAAGTTAAGTTTAAGATTAAGACCAACACTCATCACTCCCAAGTATTAAATATTTTTCTTACTGTGATTAAATGTGCGCTACTCACCGAGGGCATTTGGCTGGATACGAGGTGACTGTCCTGTCCCAGCATGTTCGACATCATAAGTGTGGGCAGCTCTGGGTAGGAATACGGGTTGATGAGCCCATTGTGTGACAACGAGTGACCGAGGTAGCCTGTAGACTCGTGCTCCATCAGGTGAAGAAGAGGAGGTTCGGGGTGGTTAGGTGGAGTGATAGGTGGGATCTCATAGTCTTCGTCCCCGGCTCCATTTCCACTTGAAGTGCCGCCACCTCCTCCTCCTCCCCCACTGCCACCTGTCTGACCTGTGTAGCTCTGTGGTGGGACAGACAGAAAAAGAAATAAAGTGAAATACACTGTTTTCATTAAGCAGAAACTGAAAATCAATCCAATTTAAGTCCCTGTGACTATTACACACAGGCTGCAAATGTAGAAATATACAGTGTTTTATAGTTTTTCTACAGTAGACAATGCAAAGTGGAAATGGCTACTTGAGCTGTCAGGAGTGGTGAATGCCCCGCCCAGCAAACACTTCCATAAATGTAAACTCGCAGCTAAATCATTAATGTCACAAAGCAGGTGCGTTGCAAGATAAATTGCTCTATGCAAGGTTGGACATACGTGTCTCTGCAACTACAGGGTATGGGCAAGTCAACTACAATTCTCTACTCACATATTAGAGAAAATCATACTATTGCAAAATTTACAAATAAATCTAATGGTTCCCAAACAGGGAACTAAAGAAAAACAATCTGTTTTTGAGTAGATTGCATTCATTTCCAACAAACAGAAGGACATTTTTTCCAGAAGTTACATGAAAAGAATATATATGTGTGTGTGTGTGTGTACTTGCATATGCTAAACATTATGATTACAAGCATTAACTTTATTGTGTTATTTTATTTTGTCAAGCTAGAAATTCCACAAAGGCTCTTCTGATCTGTCATTTTACTACATTAGGTATAATTTTCCTTCAAATGTTAAACGACTCATTTTGGAACAAAAAACAAAACAATGCTCAGCGATCAGTAATATAGCAGACCAACAGTCTCTATTCGCATGCTGTCTCTCTAACACAGTAAGTCCAATCAGATCAGGGTTCTGCACAGAGCAAGAAGAAAAGAAAAATAGCAGGGAAATTCAACGGGGAATGAAAAGCAATTTTGTCTGAGACGATCCAACTTGACTCCCATTGTAATGACTGAGTCAAATTAATCATCACAAATAATATTCTGGTGTCAGCCATTCAAGGGTTTTTTAATAGAATTTTTATGATTCATGTCTAGCAGTATACATCAAACAGTCAGTTCTGCAACATTTCTGAAATCAATTCAATATCATCTTTGTGTAGGCTGTCATCCTCGGCAGCAGAGCGGTCATTTATCTCTCAAACAGATACTTTTAGAAAATAAGGGGCATGTGGAGATGGAAGCAAGAAGAAAGGATACGGGGCGCTTTTTTTCTTGTTTTTCTCTCAACCCTGTTTTAGTATCAAGGTAAGTGCAATGGCCTATTTTGTAATTTTTGAGCACATCAATTACAGATAAAGTAGTATGAATAAGCATTTTACATCCTTGGAATGAAAAAACCCAAGACAGTTTTTCTATTTAAATCCCACGTGCAGCAACGAGTGCAAAGCCACATAAGATAAATTTAATTTTGCAACAATAAGAATGTCAATAAGAAAAGTCTAAAGCACACATCTTAAGCGTAATGGCAAAAACAGGAGGTTTTCACTGTTGAATCAAGAGTATAGAGACACACTTAGAATTAATCCTCTTTCTTTTTTCTCTCTTTCTTTTCATTTGGCGTAACATTTAGTAAACGATTGCCTCAATTTGATTTACTTTGTCCTGACATAGCCTGCAAGCAAGTTGATATTCATTTTCTGGACTGTCCTTTGAAGACAGATGTTTTTGTAAACCTTTGGGGATAGTGTTATTGTTTGGTCTAATGGACAAGAAAATGAACATTTCCTGAGATTCAATTTCCCTCATAATTGTTGGAAGGAAACTAAATTGTCTGTTGTAAACATTGGAGCTATTGTGTGAAGTGAGTCCCTGTGCGAGTCCCTCTGAGCCACTATGTGCTTCACTCTGACTGTAGTAGACTATGTAATCTAAAGACCACCATGCTTAGTCATCATGTAGCGTGTTTATCAATCTTTTGTTTTCTCAGTAAATTAATCTACATCCAAGCTACAGAAACACTTTTCTGGTCACATCTATTGCCTTTGATTGTGCAGAGGGACAAGGACAGAAGATGTGTCATGTGTTGGATTGCTATGAAGGCTCATCCAGTGCCCTTGATGATAAAATGTAAATACCAAGGACATTCCCAGTTGGATTGTGGCAAGATAAATTATTCATATGCCTCTATTCAGAATGAGATTGCATGTACAGAGCCACATGTACACTGTGGCTAATGTATACTCTTTTCTTCTTTGAAAGTAAAATCCAAACCAAGGCAATGTATATGATGGATCGTATAGACCAGCATGTGTCCTGGTATGGAAGTAGCTTTTCAAACATACAGCCCCTGTTTTTTTCCCTTTTTTCCTCTGAGGTACTCATCATTGGTTTACTTTCAATAGTCGGGGCTGTTCTCCTTCAAAAAGCAGCAGATTCTATTTTCAACACTCTGTTTTTCACCATGCTTTATTTTCCTCATCTGATCAATGCGGTACACTATAGGGAACATTATTTCCAATACACAGTATGTTGTCTTCAGTGCGAGCGAATGCAATCTGTAACATTTTAATTAAGAGACAGATCTCTCGACTGTAAGTGTTACATACCAGCACACCTTTCATTTGAAAGAAACAGATGAATAGACAGTTGGTCTGGGACTGAGAGAGAAAATAACATTGATTGGGGAGCTTTCCAGCTTGTCTTTTATTTGGCACAGATCTCTCCCTCCCTCTGTAACACTGCCTGAGTATTCAAGGCCTTCTGGAGATGATATTGACTGTGGCTAATGGCTCATTATCTCTATATTCTTCTACTTATTAGATTATTGTTATGATGCCTGTAGAAATCAGGATTTGGGACATTGCCCATTTAATATTAAATTGCACATCCATTTTAAAATTCTCATCTGTCAATTGCAATTCATATGTTCGGTTAAAAGCTACTTACCTTTTTCAACATTACATAGCATAATGTTGGACCTCCTGGCATAATGTTGCTCTGGCATAAAATTATCAGGCTATTAAGCAGCAACTGACAGATAATAAACTACTGTTTATTTTGATAACTAACTAATTGTCCTCTTTCAGTGACAACTCTAAATATTCTTTTTTTTAGCATTTTAAATCTGACACATAATGACAAGATAATAATATCATTAAACATTATTTTCAGCTGTACTCACAATATTTGCTTTTTTTAGCTTCGTCTTGAAATCAAAGGAATTTCATGACGCAAACATTATTTTGACAGGTGGGCCACAGACTGGGAATATCTCCACTAGCATGACATCAAGTGACACAGTAAGTGCTGTGTTTTCAGACCGGATCCTTGCGTTCCACATGGACGAAAGAGTCCGGTGTCCTCCCAAGTCAACGTCTGTTTCGCAAAGAAGGTGGGACCGACGGCTCAGAGACAGACGATGACATATCTGTCTCGCCGCTAATATGGACTTATCTGCTTATTGAAGAGCTTTGTCAAAGCAGTGATTTATGCTTGAAATACCCATACATCACCGCTTCCATCACCTCTGGCACTCTTCGTTCTGACACCTTCCCAAAATTCACCGTGCAGCACTCTGCAAGCCAAGTCAGGCCTTGTTATCTCTCACTCCATGCAGTCCGGTTTATGAAGAAAACAGTGGATTTATCTTTGGGATGAATTTAAGAGCATCAACTTTTTTAGTCCCTCTGTCACTGCTCTCGCAAAAGGAGGCTTATACTGTATATTCAAAAATGATCCTGTTTACTAGTGTACACAAAGCTCTTGTTTTAATGTAATACAGCAAAGGCAAATAATGCTTGTCTGACAACAGAGATCAGTTATTTTCAAACACATAATCTAAGAGCCGTGAACTCTTGGCTTGCTGTTGTTGATGCCCTTTCTTGTTTCTCTTAGCGTCTTCTTTAATCTATCCATCTCTTTCCTTCAACTCAGGCTTAATTAAAGCCATAGCTGTTCCTCTGCTACTATATCTTACAAGAGTGGGAATGGAAATGGGCAGGAGATCCAGTTACAGCCACCCTACACCTTCACTTTCCTCTTCCTCTCTTGGCTTGCCCATTCAGCTCTGTCCCTTGTGAAGCCCCAATAGTTCTGGCCCTATTCCACGTTCCTTAGACCCCGATCAGCCCCCTTCCTATCCATCCCTCTGTCATCTCATCTCCCTCTAAAACAGCCCAGCTGCTTTATTTATCTGTCAGTATTTTACTGTTCAGAAATCATAACAGGAACTCTGGGGACTGAGATGCTGTACTTGGGATGTGTTCAGTGAATGAGTGGCACAGGAGGGTGAGGAGAGAGGAAATAAACCCTTTCAAAGACATAAACCCCACAGAGAAACAAATGGGAAGAAAGGAAAATATGGAGAGAATAATTAAGGTGAGCACCAACTGTCTAAAGTCAAAAGATGCAGATGGCCCTATTCACCCCAGACCCTGAGCTGATTACTAACTAACCTACCACTGACTCAAACCAGCCTTTCTAATTGCACGTGTTTCTCCCCTTTCCTTTTAAGTTTCCCTTTTTCTTCCTTCATATATCCTGTTCCAAGTGCCCGTCTCACTTGTCAGTCAAGGTCAGGAGGTCATCCTCATCTGATCGCGTGTCAGAACAGATTAGAATCAGAGCTTTTGTGTCATGTCATATTTCATTATGCATTTGACTCATCTCGCAGGTCAAGAGGTCGCTCTGATTTGATTGGATGACAGAAATGATATAATTTGTGTTTAACCCTAGGCTGTATGAGGCTCTGAGTGGTGTACTAATGCATTTTGCAAAGATGGGGCAGACCCTCTCCACAAGCGACTAATTTGAAGTGGCACGCCGCAGAGTTGAAGGAGAGCCAGCGCTACTGCACAACATGCTGAGGTTATAAGGGAGGCTTTATCAAATAACAAACACAACCTCCCTTGTACCTCTGTTTCTTTCTGTTTCTCATATGCTTTCTTTTTATCCTGCAAACGGATGGAAGTGCCGAGTAACTAACTGCCCTCTGAGGCTAATATTTTTTTGGGGGGTTGTTCCATATTCATTTGGTCCAATAAAAATGTGCTACTGAACTTCCTTGCTCTTGCTGTCTCTATTTCTTCTTCACTATCAAAAAACACTTAATATTGGCAAAAGAGA